CGGTGTAGCAATAGTTACATCTAATGAAATTGCAAAATTAGTTTCTGGATTACTACCAACATCAAATAGAATAATGCTAATATAAATAGACAGCAAACCAGTCGATATGAATATTATCCAGGTATATGCCCCAACTAGTCAAAGCACAGAAGAAGAAATAGAACAATTTTACGAAGACCTAAACAAAACTCTACTGCAGACAAAGAAGCATGAAACCAACATAATATTAGGAGACTTTAACGCCAAGATTGGAAAAGGAAAAGAAGATGACACGGTGGGGGAGTTTGGCCTCGGAATAAGAAATGAGAGGGGAGATAAGCTTAAAGAAGAATCCACTGGTAATAAAATACGGGAAGAAATACATAGACACTTGAGTAACAGAACAGTACAATCGACACAAACTACCGAGGAAGACTGGCACTATATTGAGAAAACACTTACAAGAGCAACAGAAGACTACCTCAAACAAGATACACGAAAAAAGAACAAACCATGGATGACAAAAGAAATTCTAAACATGATGGACGAAAGAAGAAAATACAGAGGTAAAATGAAACAACATACAAGCAAATACACAAAAACATCAGAATAAAGATCTAACAAGCCAAAGAAACCTGGCTAAGTGAAAGATGCCAAGAAATTGAAGAGTTGGAACAAAGACATGATACTTTCAATCTACATAAAAAAGTAAAAGAAGCCGCTGGGATATTTAAACAAACTCCTACGTCTTTCATTGAAGATAAACATGGGAACCCGCTACTGAACATAGAAGATCAAATAGGTAGATGGAGAGAATACGTGGAATAGATGTTTCAAAACCGAGAGAGGACGAACATTTACATGCAGGAGGCATCGACTGAACCTTATATCACAAAGCAAGAAATTATCAAAGCGGCAAATCAGATAAAGTACGGAAAAGCTGTTGGGGAAGATAATATCCCAATTGAAATAATAAAGATATTACTAGACGAACACATCTAAGTAATGGAAGATATATTTAACAAAATACACCAAACAGGCATAATACCATGTGATTGGCTGACATCGGTGTTTATACCACTACCAAAGAAGAAAAACTCCAAGAAATGTGAAGATCATAGGATTATTAGCCTGATGAATCATATATTGAAACTTTTCCTACGAGTAATACACAATAGAGTATACAATACACTAGACGAACACACTGGTCAAACTCAGTTTGGTTTTAAGAATGAGTTCGGAACAAGAGAAGTACTTTTTTCAATACATGTGCTAGTTGAAAAATGTAGAGATGTCGATTCTGATGTATACTTGTGTTTTATAGACTTTCAGAAGGCGTTTGACCTGGTGAAACATTATAAACTAATAGATATTTTAAGGTCATGTAATATCGACGATAAAGACTTAAGGATCATTTCAAACCTCTACCAAGAACAAAAGGCTAAAATCAGAATAAAAAGCGAAACATCTGGAAAATCAATATCGAGAAGGGAGTAAGACAGGGATGTGTCCTATCACCTTTGCTGTTCAATGTTTACTCTGATAAGATATTTCAGAAAGCTTTGGAAGGCACCTCAGATGGTATAATTATAAACGGGCAATGTACAAACAACCTGCGATATGCTGATGACACTGTCATACTGGCAAATAATGCTGAAGCCCTGCAACGCTTAATGGACCGAGTAACGACAGCCTGTAGAGAATTTGGAATGAAATTGAATACAAAGAAGACAAAAACGACGGTCATCAGCAAGCACCAAAACAGAAGGGTGAAGGTCAATGTCGACGGCACAGATCTGGATAGAGTAACAAGAACAACGTACCTTGGAAGTAATCTTGACGAAACTTGGGACCACTCACTAGAAATAAGAATACGCCTAGAAAAGGCACATACAATGTTTTACAAAATGCAAAAAGTTCTATGCAACCGCCAGCTGGGCATCTCATTGAGAACTATTCTTTGTTTCAAGTTAAGAAAATAACATTACGCTTATGGAGATCAGTGTTGCCAAAACTCTCAGACACTCTCTTTTGCACGGATGTCCAAGATATTCCCTTTGCTTAATTTTTGAATTTTCATTTTCAATTAACATTTAACTGTAAAGTCAATAACTACTAAATAAAAGCCTTATTATCATTATGTAGTCAGAGAACGACATAAAATCGCTGACATACGCAAATCGTATTATTTTAAGTTGCAATTAGTAATTAGATATACGCATTCCAAGTCCGTTTATTTGCTTTTAAAACTTTAATAGGCGGCAAAATGCATGATTTAACTAAGCAATATTTTCTACTGATTTCTATGATTCATGGCTCACCGAAAAACAAATAAACTGTCGTTACTATAATTAAAATAAGATAAAATAAAATTATCTTTTGTAAATACTATTTATCTAATTAAAATCATTTTCCCTACTTTTCATCTCTTGTTTCGAATGGGCACTTTTGGTCAATTACGTTAAAAAACATTAATTTAATTCATGTCTGTGGAAACGAAAATACAAATTATACAACCCTAAATTGTGCTTGTGTGTGTGTCGTGGCAACGCCGCGTTTCTATCGTCCATAAGAAATACATGGCCCTATCTCCGCAATGTTATTTTCTTAAAGTGGAACGTAGTATAGAATACTTAAGTGCTATGTTTTCTCCACCTTGCTCTATGGTGTTGAAGCCTGGACAATGGCAGAAGCAACACAAAAAAGAATCCAAGCATTCGAACTCTGGTGTTACCGTAAAATGCTCAGAATATCCTACATGAGCCATATGACAAATGTGGAAGTCTTGCAGAGGATGAATAAGGAAAGAGAGCTTATAATAAAAGAACGGAAAACACAATATTTTGGTCACATCATAAGAAATCAAAAGTATGAACTTCTCCATCTTATAATCGAAGGCAAAGTCAAAAGCAAAAGAGGACCAGGAAGAAGACGCAACTCTTGGCTTAAAAACCTACGGCAATGGACGAACATGACCTCCATAGAACTATTCAGGGCTGCTACAGATTAAATGGGCAAATGTAATGGCCAACGTCCTTAAGGATAAGGCACCGTAAGAAGAAGATTGGTTAAGTGCTATCATTTGAGATATCGTACGTCACTATTGGCCTAATAGGACCAAAGGTACATAACTAAGGCCCTTTTGACATGCAACTCCATTACCTCATTGTATCTCATTGTATTTTATTTGTTAAATCCTTTCATTTGAGGTACTGCACGTCATGATTGGACTGACAGAACCGAAGATACACAACTAAGGCCCTTTTGACATTGTGCTGTATTTGATTTTTCTATCCCATTGTATTCTTTACGTTAAGTCTTATCATTAGAGGTACTATACGTCACGATTGGACTAATAGGATCAAAAATACGTGACTACGGCCCTTTTGACATGTTGCTGTATTTGATTTTTCTATTTCATTGTTTTCGATTGGTTAAATCCTATCATTTGAGATACTGTACGTCACGATTGGACTTATAGAAACGAAGATATATAACTAAGGCCTTTTTGACATGCTGCTTTTCTGTCTTATTGTATTTTATTGGTTAAATCCTATCATTTGAGGTGCTGTACATCACGACTGGACCAATTGGAGCAAAAATATGCAATATATACCCCGTTATATATACCCAATATGTAACCCGTTACTTTTAATCAAACAAGATGCTAGAATGATTTGTGGATGAAAAAAATATATATAAATTCTTAAATTTACTATTTCGTTGTGGGTAATATTATATTCAACAGCGATGCCAAATTTCTGATGCTAAAATGATTGATAATGAAAGTGCGATATACATTTTCATGTATATAATGGCAGCGAGTAAACGGTAAAACCCTGAACTAAATATATATAATATTTTCACTGTACCATCATTTTAGACTCAAACATTTCCTGGAATAAACTTATATAACTCAGTAAGGGATAAAAAGAGAAAGCGGACATTTTAAAATACCAACACGGTATCAAATCTCTAATCATTGAGATGGTTAAAATTCTTGTAACAAGTACAGGAAAAAAGTTATTAAGGTCTTGTAAAGTAGCGTCGATATACAGATGCTACTTTGCAAGACGATGCTAAATTGATGGTAAAAGCATAATGTATCGATGCCAAAATGATAGTAGGATGTATATATACATATATATATATATACGTTACGCCGTTATATTCGTTATATATATACGTTATATTCGTTACGCCTAGCGGCGTAACGAATACGGCCAATCAGCGACGATCCGCTCGAACAGCGCACGATATAAAAGAAGTGAGGACTGAGCGCAGCTCATTCAGTTACCGACTACGAGACCGAAGACAACGCACAGAAGATGCCAAGTGAGACCTTGGCGAAACGTCTGCAATTAAAAAATGACCAACGGATATTTTCCCGGAATAATTGTTCAACATATATATATATATATATATATATATATATATATATAATATATATATATATATATATATATATATATATATATATATATATATATATATATATATATATATTTAGTATAATGGTAAGGTTAATTGGGTTAGCAGCTGAAAGCTGCTAACCCAATAAACCTTACCATTATACTAATTAATAATTGGACAGCTGTGATCATTCTTCGTATATATATATATATATATATATATATATATATATATATATATATATATATATATATATATATATATATATATACATAATAGTAATTTAAATTTTACACTGTGGAACAATTTATGTAATGCCTTAATGCACACATGCTCCATAATTCCGGATATAGTACAAAATGATGTCACAAGTCTAGTGTGAAAACACACATATACACACATACATACATAAGCGCACACACACACACATGGGCCAAAACCAAATGACAATGAAAATCCACAGAATGTAAATTGAATCCAAATTCTGATATATTTTTTTGTCACATCAACTGGCAGTATAAAGCAGACACAAATTTAATTACAATATAAAATGTTAATGCATTCTGCTTGGTTCTAATATGTATCAAATAAAAGATAATATTACTTACCTTGGAATACAATTTGTAGGTGTTCTGTCAACCCATGTAGCATAAAGTCTCATTTTATTAGGAACAGAGGTCCCAGTAGCTTTGGACATTTTATCACTCATTTTTTTCAAATAGGATTAAAAATTATCAAGATAAAGATCTTTAAACAGGCCCAATATTATAAACAAACATTTTACTTTTGTCATAAAAGCTTGGTAACAAAATGAAATAACCAAGGATTTATATAAATAAACCCGCATTATATCATATTATTCATTAAAACGATAGGAAAATAAAACAATTCTTATACTGCATTTTAAGTACATTGTCATTACAAATCAAATGTTATTTGTTATTTCCGAAGACTGCGATTGCATTCTTAAATTGCTCACCACACCAGCAAAGAATATTGACTTGACTTGACTTTTGACTTGACCACCTTGACACCGAGACCGAACGACCGAGCTACCACCCTAGCAAAGCATAAAGCATTGAAACTCCCGTGTTGACGCATGGTACAATAAAATTCACAGTTGAGATAATTCACATGAGAGTTTATTGTACCATGGTGTTGACGAGTAAAACAAAACCACAGAATAATAAACAAACAGAATACCCACTCTTTTTGGATAATTTCGGATAATTCAAGGGTCTATCGACTTTTTATTTTTAAATATAATTTAAATTTTTATAAGCTTAAATAGCTAAATTTGCGAATGTACATAGAACTGCAAACTCTATTCTCATATAATCGAAGATGATGGAACCTATGAATTATTTCAGCGCCCTCTGTTGATAAATAGTATAGTTTTGGTTGACTGTTTTACTGTACAAAAATCCAGGGATCTTTGAAATTGACAAAACAAAAATCGAATTTCATTTCAATCCAAGTCTAAAATGTCGAAGTAGTCAAGTAATTCCCCTGTGGCACTTTCTCTATACTTTTGCCGATTATGTATGTAAACAATAAGTATTTTTAATGTAGGTTTTAAGAGTTAATAATTTGTTATTTTGCTGTATTTATGTATTATTTTTTGTTTTTTATTTAAATAAATATATTTCTATCAAACTAAACTTGTTTTCTTGCCATCATTTCTCATATTGATTGTCATTTGGCATCTACCAATGTGTCAATGTCATATACATTAGTTTCGTTCGCGGTACGAATCCTGGACTCGTTCTGGATTACTTCGCATGCGCAGTGTAAAAATGAGCGTTCGCGCTGATCAAGTTCTGGACTGACAGGGACTGCCTAGTCCGGAATCTTGTCGTTCGCGGTAACAGAACTTGCAGGTTCAACCGATCCTTGGGATTTGAAGAGAACTCGGAGTTCGTACATGCGCAATAGAAACACTAGAAATTTTAGGAACATGGAACATTTTTATTATTCTGGTGATTGTCACTCTGAACTTTAAACGGTTTATTGTTTATTCGAGACATTCTGTTGTTTTCTAACAATGCTCATCTCTAAACTGGACTAAAGTGTGCTCTAATCTAAATAAAATATGGCGCTGGCAATGCGCAAACCAGATGCGTGAACAATTCCCGCCGAGTCGACTGCACCTTCGGGTTGTTCCGTATCAGAACTGAAAATTGTTCAAAATTCGTTCGCGGTGTAAATCAATCCTGAACTGATTATGAACCGCGCTTGTCCACGGAAAATTAAGTACGCGCATCTCCTCCGCGCAGACGTTCCGCCATGTTTTAGGAGGATTTTAAAGAAACTAGTGTTGTTTATGTGCTGTGCATGGAAAAATTAACCAGGTTTATTTGACTTACGGCAATCATAGACATACTATACAATTATATTAACATTGTTAAATATAATAACATAAATATAATATAATTAAACATAAATGTAAACAATTACATAACCACACAAATCATATGTCTGTGTCCTCGTAAAACATGGCGCGCGTGCTGAAAAACTTCAAAGGCGGCATCTGAGAGTGGCCCTTCTGATTATTTATTATTCTGTGACAAAACAATGATTGGCGCATCACCTAGTGACCGGGCGCGTAACTATATATAGAAATGTTGGGAGTACTTCACGGTTCCTAGACTTACTCCGGTTGCCTCTTCCGCCTAACCAATGAACATTAAGCTGAACTGTACTCCTGTGACGTAATTTGAATCTTAAAAATCAGCCCTGTGATTGGATGGATGTATCAAAACAAAAATGTTTTATAAATAAAATAAATGTTAAATAACGTGCACGTTAACCTGCATTTACGTTATATTCTAAAAATTGATGTGATGTATCATGTATCACAGATAAAAAACGTTATGTGGTAACGTTTTACGTTATCTTGCTAACATAATATATTATAATATTCTCTGATAACAGGTTCAATTTAAAGAGATGATTTAATCTCATACTATTTGTAGATGGGAATAACGTGTAGTTAATAAAAATATAAAATGAATTATTTAGTCCAGAATTTTGGCCGGATTCTAAACGATGAGTTATTAGAAGAATTAGATGATGCTATTAGAAGGTTTGTTAAAGATATTTTTAATTATAGTATCAAAGAATATAGACGCTTATAAGCGTCTATATTCTTTGATAGTATATTATTTATTTAGGTTATGTTTTGTAAACAAAATTATTTTATTGATAGGGATGAAGAAAACATTCAGAGAAGACTTTTGCGAGATTTGGTAAATCCAGTGGAATTAGTGGAAGCCGTATTTCAAAAGATATTTAAGTTATCGAGGGAATTGTCTTTGCATTTGGTTCGAAAGTCTCCAGCCCCATCTAAGACAAGTGCAAAGATCAAATGCTTTAGCACATGAAACCAAGATATGTTGTTTATATTAAGAATTGAGTGAATATATTCCAATATGTTATATTTTATTTACTTTTTATTTTATTATATACTATATTTTATTTTTTTTACCATGGAAAGGTCCACTTTTAGTAAAGTATTGACAGAAGTAACTGATGCGATGGTAGAACATCTGTTGCCAAGATATGTTAAATTTCTTGTCACCCCTGCAGAATGCCAAGCAGTAACAGAAAGGTAAAACATATGTAATTAATGTTGTTCTGAAGCTATTTTCTTGTGGCATTTTAAATTAATTACTATTTAACTGGGAGTAAGCCCCAATTAAAGGTTAAAATATGTTTATTAACATTTCAATTTCCACTTCAGAAATTGTTCTCAAAATACAAACACTAAAAACAAATTTTGTTTTTTTGTTACTTAGTGAAAAATTCTTCTAATAATTTAATTTTATCTGACTCATTTATATGGACAATTCAGACAAACATTATGCATTTTAAAGTAGACGACTTTAAAATGATATTGCCAATATTGTTGAGTTGTGCTCTTGGAACGACTTTACTTATAAGATAGTTCATTCCATTACATGAAATCAACATTAACTTGAGAATATCTGTCAGAAAAAAATCATAGCATGTAATTCATCTTTAAAAAGACAAACACATGCCATGATGACAGTAAAATTCGCCTGTTAGTGATTCCATAGTAAATTATGAGGGAAAAACCAGGAAAAAACCTCATAATGCTATCTCGACATGGTAAGTATTTGGTCGTGCATTTAGTTTGCCATTAAGTCCCACATCACAAAAAGAATAATAAGTGTGAAGAAGATTCAGAGAAGGAAAAAATAAAATTAAGTATTCTTAAAATTAGAAAAGAAAAGGAAGAGTTAAGTAGAGACGTTTTAAAATTAGAAAAACAGAAACGGAAACAGAGAAAAGAGAAACAGACACAAAAGAGTTGGCAGTTAAAGAAAAGATTCTACAACTGAAACATCAATATGGGGTTGAGTTCGAGAATTTAGAAATTTAATACCATTTGGTTAATTTTATATTATTGTAAATTAGTTATTAAAATAAAAATTGGTTATCTTATTATTGTATAAGTATCATATAAATGACATCATATACTGGTACCCAAACAATATTTAAGAGGAAATAATAATTTACAAACCTTGCTGTGTCCTCTGGAAAAGTTAAGGAATGCTTATTTCATCTAATATTTTTACAACACAAATTCCATTTTGCCGTCTTAAAATCAAACACTTTACTCAAGAATAATAATAAACACAAAAAACTGAACAATGAAACTGAAATATATATACATACTTTGTTTTTCAAATACCGTAAAATGAAAGGATTATGTATCTACTTGCTGATATGATCTTATTTTCATGACTTCCTTGAAATGACAATGTATCGCTTGAGAATATTATAAATAAATGAAATACTAATAGATCCCGTAACATTTTGCCTATTTTTCACAAAGTTATCTGTTAAAAGTGGGTATAAACACTTTCTTATAAGTATGTATTTATTGTAGAAAAATTCTGTAATAAAAATACATGTTCATTATAGTATCATAAATATCATATTCATTAAGTTACTGGTGTTATATTTAGTTTGTTTCATAGATTTATTACCAGAGTTTAATAAGAAAAAGTTGACACAATTAAGTTAATTTTATTTCTGTGACTATTTGAATTGTCAACACTTTTTTTGTTAAATTAAAAATACATATACAATAATTAAAACACTCATAATTCTTATATTATGTTTTATTGAACCGTAAATAATTTTAAAATAAACATTTTATTTAATTAATAAATGCAGTACGAATGACAGCATTTCTTACAGCAAAATTATCTTGATTTCTAGTGACCTTGTTTAAATTTTTATCTTCTGACTCCGCGTGATTACTGCCATCTTCACTATCAGTCAGCACATCATTCCTCCTTCTACATATATTATGCAATACACAAATTGCCACTATAATTGGAATAGCTCTATTTACACTGACTAGACACTCTTTACATTTTGGAATGAGGTGATATAGTCTTTCAACTGTATGTGCTTCATTGTCACTTTATATTCACAAACATAACACACTGTTCTCTCTTCAACAAGTCTTCATGTGTTGTAGAGGTGTGTCCTAATCTGAGACTTCTTATTGGGATTTGATGTTGTCGCTTTGAAGGCCTGAAGTATCATGGAAGGACGGAAGATTTTATTTCTATCAATTTAGTGGTGCTTCTATTCCATTGGTCCCGTAGACAAACAAGGAAACCTTCTCTTTAAGACACCAAACATTCTTTCAATTGTATTCTGTGTGTGGATATGTGTATAATTGTATTTCCTTTCAGCTGGCGTTTGTGGATCATGTAAGGGAGTTAAAATATATTTTCGGCATGGATAACCACTATCACCCAGTAAATATGTTTCACAAAACTCATTGTTTTCAAACTGAGCTCTTATCAGAGAATTATCAAATACATGACTATTGTGGGAGTAACCAGGCCATCTAGCAACTACATTGATTACATTTAAATTTGCATCACAATCCATCTGTATATTTATTGAAAAATACCAGTCACTATCAACACTAGATACAGTTGGAGAATTAACATCTGACACTGATGATACTGAAGACATTTCAAAATATTATT